ATAAAATTATCAGTGAAACAGGCAATATTACAAAGAACATAACAGAAATGCAAAAGATCATGAAAGGAAACTATGCACAATTATATACCAACAAACAAAAAAAAACCTAGACAAGATGGATAATTTCTGGACACATAATTTACCAAGATTGAACCAGGAAGAAATAGAAACCCTGGATAGATCAATAACAAGCAATGTAATTGAATGAATAATGAATAGTCTCCCAACAAAGAAAAGCCCAGGTCCTGATGGCTTCACTTCCAAATTCTACAAAACATTTAAAGAAGAACTAACTCGATTCTCCTCAAACTATTTCTAAAAATGAAAAAGGAAGGAATTCTGTTAAATCCATTCTATGAAGCATCTAGCACCCTGATCCACAAAACAGACATGGACATAAGAACAGAAGATTTTTAAAAAAGACAAATATTTCTGATGAATGAAAATGGAAAGTTTCTCAAGATACTAGCAAATTGTATCCAACCACACATTAAAATAATTAAACACCATAACCAGGTAGGCTTTATTTCAGGGATGCAAGAGTAGTTCAACATACACAAAACGGTAAGTGTACTACATCACAGTAACAGAAGGAAAGATAAAACTCATGATCTTATCGATCAACGAAGAAAAAGCATTTGATAAAATGCGACATCCCTTCATGATTAAGACACTTAGCAAAATTGGCATGGAAGGGGTGTTCCTCAACACAATAAAAGCTGTATGTTACAAACCCATAGCTAACATCATGGTGAATGGGGGAGAGCCAGCTTTTCCGATAAAAACTGGAACAATACAAGGTTGCCCACTTTCTCCATTCCTTTTAGACATAGTACTGGAAGTCCTAGCCAATGCAATAAGGTCAAGAAAGAAAATAAAAGACATTGAAATAGGAGAAGAGGAAGTAAAACTATCTCTATTTGCAAATTATATGATTATATACATGGAAAATGCACAAGAATTCACAATAAAATCCTGGAAATGATAAATGAATGCAGTAAAGTGGCAGCATACAAAATTAACATACAAAAATCTAGAGCATTTTTATACATTAACAATGAAAAACTTTGGTAGAACTGAAGGAAAAAAATCCCATTTACAGTAACCACACACACACACAAAAGATACCTAGGAATAAATCTAACCAAAGAAGTGAAAGATTTGTAGAGGCCTTTATATATATATATATATATACCTCTACAGAGAAACTATGAAAAACCTAAAAAAGAAATTGAAAATGATACAAAAAAGTGTAAAGACATCCCATGTTCCTGAACTGGCAGAGCTTATAAAATCAAAATGTCAATCCTACCCAAATTAATCTACATATTCGATGAAATTCTGATTAAGTTACCAGAGATAGTCCTCATAGAAATAGAACAAACAATCATAAATTTGTCTGAAACCATAAAAGGCCTGTAGTACCAAAACAATACCACGCAAAAGAATAAAGTAGGAAGCATCTCACTTCCTGACTTCAAAATAAATTACAAAGCTGTGTTCATCAAAACAGAATGGTATTTGGCACAAAAACAGGCATGTAGACCAGTGGAACAGTTAGAGAACCCAGAAATAAACCCCAAAGGATACAGCCAAATGATTTTGGCAAAAGCACATGACAATCCATTGGGGGAAAAAATCTCTTCAACAAATGGAGATGAAAAAACTGGATATCCACATAAAAAAAAAACCCCTCAACAAAAGGAAATGAAAAAACTGGATATCCACATAAAAAAAAAAATGAAACTGGACCCCTATCTTTCACCACTAACAAAAATCAATTTAAAATGGATCAAAGATCTAAACATAAAACCTCAGGACCAGTAGGTGGCATGATGGTTAAGGTGTTGAACTCTCACATGGTCAATGGTGCTTCAGGTCCCAGTCTCGGCAACTTGAAAATCATCCCAGATATGTGTATGTGCATGCCCAAAATCCCAGGAGGAGAAGGGATTGTGTGACCATCTCCTTTGTGGGGTGGTTTCTCACCTTTCCTGTCTCTGTATCTCTCTCCATCTCTCTCTGGCAAAAGCATGCAACGTATGGCAAAAACAAAACAAAACCAAAACCCTCCAACTATAAAACTACTGGTGGAAAACACAGAAAAATCTTTTGGAGACATCAGAGTAAGGAAACATTTCATAAGTATGTCACCCAAAGCAGAGGCAATCATTTCTAAAATAGTGGGATTATATCAGGTTAAAAAGGTTCTACACAGCAAAAGAAGTAATAATTAAAGTGAAGAGACAACTCTCAGAATGGGAGAATATACTGGGTTATCAGGAAAGTCATTATTCATTTTTGCATAGAAAAAATATGTCATGACTTTCCTGACAATATTTGCAAACTATGCCTCATATAAGGAACTAATAACCAGAATATGCAGGGAGCTCAAGTATCTTACCTGCAAAAGAGTAATCAATCCAATTAAAAGATGAGCAAATGAGCTCTCCAAGGAAGAAAAATGAACAGCCAAAAAGTATAAGAAAATCTACTCAACAACTCTTATGGTAAGAAAAATGCAAATCAAAACCACAATGAAATACCGCTTAACCCTAGTCACAATGGCTAGTATTAAAAAAGAAAGAAAGATAAGTGCTGGCAAGGCATCAGTGAAAAGGGAACTCTCCTACACAGTTGGTGGGAATGTAAATTAATACAGCCACTGTGGAGAACTACATTGAAGTTCCTCAGAAACCTACAACTAGAACTACATACGATCCACTCTTAGATATCTTTCCAAAGGATAGGAAAACAGTCAGAAAAACACTTGCACATCCATGTTTATTATAACATTATACACAATTGCTAGGACATGGAGTCAACCCAAATGTCCAAGAACAGATAAGTGGATTGAAAAAATGTGGCACATATACACCATGGAATGAAAAAATGCTCAAAAATAAAAAAAAAAAAAAAAAAAAAAAAAAAAAAAGAAAGAAAGAAAAAAAGAAAAAGAAAAAAAATGAGTCCCTAACATTTGATACAAAGTGGATGAATATAGAAGATTGAATGTTAGGTGAAGCATGTCAGATTATGAAAGACAGGCATTATATGTCCCCACTTAATATATCGTAAATGTCTGCACTCTATAGCAGAACTGAATGATTGCAAGATATAACAGCAGAGAGAACAATTGTATATCCTAGACACAGTATAGGAGAGAGGTATGTACTGAGGGAGGGAGAGAGAGGATCGGGGAATAAAAAAACATTTAACATACACAAAAATAAAGTTATCCATTGATGATAATGCATATGGAAATATCTTTGACTTGACTAATATGCACTGTATTCATGCTGGGAAAAACCATGTTGTACACTGTATAGATGTACAGTGATTAAATGCAAATTTTAAAAATGTTTCTATGAGCCAGCAGATAGCATATTGGTTACATCACTGGACTCCTACATGGTTGATCATGATTTGAGTCCTGGACCTGGTGGCTTGAAACTCATGTTGGGCATGTGTGTGTACATGCCCAAGATTCCAGAAGGAGAATGGAGAAGGAATTGCAGCATGACATTCCCCTGGTGGTGGTGGAGGGGGTGTTTTCTCATGCACCTTCTCACTCTCTCTCTCTCTCTCTCTCTCTCTCCCTCTGGTGAGTGCATGCATCCTCAGAAAAAACTGTACCAAAAAAAGGTTTTAAAAATGTGAGCTAAGCACATACATTAAAATTCACAAAGTGAAAAAAAAAAAAAAACTGAGAGTGAGTGATCCTATGACGACTTTTAATAGATTAGGTTAAAAAAATTATATATGTCTCGCAAAGATTCTTTGCCTTACATTATTCTATTTAAGCTTTGTTTCCTATCAGCATAAAGGCCACTATTCAAACAAGTGCCAGTAGCTCTCTGGGGCAGTTAGGTATGTTAGTATCAACTGCATCAGTTATGAACACCAGCAACACCCCAGGTGTCACACTCACATATAGAACAGTGTGCAGGCACACCTCATTTTAGAGCCCTTTGCTTCACTGCATGTGTTACAGAATGAAGGTTTGTGGCAAACATGCGTCAAGCAAGTCTGCTGATTCCACTCCTCCATGTGCTCACATCATGTCTGTTCGTCCCATTTTGGTCATTCTCACAATAGTTCAGACTTTGTCTTTGTATCTGTTACAGTGATCTGTGATCAATGAGCTTTAATGTTACTATAGAAATGGTTTGGGGATGTCACAATCCATGCCCACAGAAATAGCAAACTTAACCAATAAATGCCACATGAGTTCTGGGGAAAAAAAAGGAGTAAACCAATGAACTCCAGATCAAAGCCCAAGCCCTCTGATAAGATCATGTGCTCATTATCAGGACACTCTGTCATCAAGTTATTTTTAGGCCAGGCACTGGGACTCTCAGCACTGCATGATTGCAGTGTGGCACAGGTGGCCCCAAATTAGGGCAGGTTGTGTTTTTCTCTCTTTCAGAGCAAAGTGCTGCGTTTGTTTGAGAAATGTAAGAATGCTTCCTGTTCAGCAGTGAGTTTTTTCCCAACTCTGAGGCCAAGTTTTACTGTGTATCTGGAAAACCAGGAGAGATTAAACAAGACTCTCTTAAGCTAAAACTATATACAATTCTTTCACATATGTATTTACACATAAACTTTAAGAATATAAACTCTAACACACTGTATGTTTAAAAAGTGACTTATTAGATTTTTATGATGCTTATTCACCTTTAATTGCTATACATTTTTATAACACGCAATATACATAAAGTATGTGACAATCTAGCCATGGATATTGCCGTGTTCATACTTGTCCTTTTTCATTTTTTTTAAGAGGTCTTAGCCTTAGGCCACACGTGCTTGCCAGAGAGAGAGACAGAGACAGAAACAGTGAGAGGGTAAGTGAGAAAACATGCCCCGGGGGGATGGCCATGCCACAATCCCTTCTCCTCCATTCTCTTCTCAGGATTTTGGGCACACACGCACGCACAAGCATTCGCACCCGGCATGAATTCTAAGCCACTGAGTCCAGGACTCAAACCGCGGTTGACTACATGAGAGTTCAGTGGCATAACCAATGCATCATCTGCTGGTCTCAGAGCTGTGTCCATCCTTCAACAGAGAGCTTCACTCACTAGGCTTTCAGCGCTATTGGAACAAATGACACAGGCCGGTTGTTAACGCAGATGTGTGGCATAACTGCACCGGGGGATGGAAGCTCTGCGTGGGTCTCACTGGTTACAGCCCAGGTGTCCGCAGGGCTGGCTCCTTCCAGAAGCCTTCTCGGGTTCTGCAGGCTGCAGTCTTCCTGGTGCCTCACTCCCTCCTCCATCTTCAGAGTCGCACAGCCTCTCCCATGGCCACACTCCGGTGCAGGTGGGAAAGGTACTCTGAGCCTAAGGAATTGTGTGTTGGTGACCCAGACATCGCTCCACCTCAAGGTCATGGTCATAATTACCCCTACAAAGCCCCCTTGCCATGTGAGATCACAGAGCAGGGACTCCTGAGATTCGGGTGTGGGTGTCTCAGGGAGCCTCGTCCTGCCCGCCAGAGTCACAACCAACTCCTTCTCACTGCCCTCCTAAGTCTAAAATTACCATGGCTTTCTCTCCCTTTGAGACAATGTCCACTGGTCATGATCTTCTGTTCCCTGGAAAGAGAAAGAGAATCAAAGTCCAAGGCGTTCTGTTTCCCATGAAGGGTCAGGGGTGGCATCACTCGGAGAATCCCAGCATTGACAGGAACCAAGAAGGAATCAAGTCCAGGGACCCCCAAGCCTGCGACGGTCGGTGCTCCTAGCACGCAGCTCACTGACCACTCCTCAGGGGTCTGGGGCACTCGTCCTCGCTGAAATCTCTCTCTCCCTGTGCTTCTTTCCCGCTCTTTGATGGGCAGAACCTAGTGGTTGTGGATGTCCACACCAGCCTCACTCACCTCCAGCATTTCTCTTCTTGCTGACCCCAGCCTCGCGACTCCAGCTGCCTTCTGCCTAACGGTGATTCCGGCTCCCAGTCCTGCAAGCTCCGCCCGGCTCTCCACCCAGAACCTGCAGGTGTCTGGTAGCCCTTAGCCCTGAGCTGGCCAGGGCTGACTCAGTATGTCCGGGTGACGCTCT